CGGCAGCATATATTGCTTTTTTATTCTCACAGGCTGAGATGGAATCTCGGTACAGTTTTGCTTTGAGAGTAGCAGGCAGCCAGGCTGAGGCGGGAAGATCATGGAGTTCAAAGCCAGCCTGAGCTACATAGTGACGCCGTCTCAACAAATAAAAACAAAACAACAAAAACGAGCGTTAAAGATTTTCACCCATTCCGTGGGCTGTCTTCACTGTTGGTGGTTTCCCTTGGCTGTGCAAGAGCTTTCTAGTTTGAGGTAGTCAGTCCCTCTTACTGGTGCTTGCTGTTACTTCCTGTGCTGTTCCAGTCCTGCTCAGGAAGCCATTGCCTGTGCCTGTGGCTTCAGGTGTGTCTCCCATGTTTTCTGTCACTTTCAGAGTCTTGGATCTTAGTCTTCACGTTTTTGATCCATTGTCAGTTGACTCTTATTGCAGGGTGAGAGGGATCTAGTGTCAGTCTTCTACATACAGATGTTAAAGAGGCTGTCTTCTCTCTGTGCTTTCGGCCCCTTGTCTGGAATCAGATGGTTGTGGTTGTATGGGTTTGTTTCTGTGTCCTCTCTTTCACTGGTCTGTGCATCTTTTTTGTGTGCCATTACCATTCTGGTTTTGTTCCTGTGGCTTTGCGGTGTAATTTGAAATCCGGTGTTACAATGCCTCCGGTCTCCTTTTTCTTCAGGATTGCTTTGGTTCTTCTGGATCTTTTGTGTTTCCATAAGAATTTTGTTTTTTTGTTTTGTTTTGTTTTGTTTTTGTTTTTGTTTTCACTTTTATTTTTTTTTATTTTTTTATTTTTTTCCATAAGAATTTTGTTTGTTTGTTTCATTCTGGGAATCGAACTCAAGATCTTCTGCTTCCTAGGCTTCCAGTATGAATTTCAGTAGTTCCCCCCCCCCCGCGCCCCCCGCCCAGTTCTGTGAAGGATGTCATTAGGTTTGCACCAAACTTCGAGGTTGTGTTTGGTAATGTGTCCATTTTAACAGTATTAATTCTGCTGATCTGTGATTATGGGAAGTCTTTTCCGTGTAGTGTCTTATGTCTTCATTGTTCTGTAATTTTCATTGTAGAGCTCTTTCACCTCTTTGGTTGATTTTCGTTCTTTTTTCTTTCCTGTAGACACCAAAGTATTAGTCATGAAAATGAATGAAATTTTATAATTGTCACAATTGAAGGAAAACAGTGTGCTTGGCAAAGTAGAGGAGACACGGAAGGTGAGAGCTGTGTCTGTGTGAGGAGGTGCCTAGGATAGGCAGATTCCTGCAAGTGAGAGACAGCAGGGTTACAGGGACTGGGAAGAGGGGGAGTTCCTGCTGAGTGAAGACAGGCTTTCGTTGGGGACGATGGAAGCGCTTTGTGCAGAGGTAGTGGCGATAACCTCACAGCACTAAACGTGTGTAATGCCACTGAATTGTATTCTCTAAACTGGGTAAAATTATGTTTCTATATTGTACCGCGCTTAAAAAAAAGAAACCACCGAAAATGGGGAGAAGGCAGTAGGCCAGATTTGGCTCTGCTCACCAACCCTTGATAAAGGTCAGAAAATCTTGTCAGCCCGTACTTTAGGTTTACTTTGTTAATTTTGTGCTGTTAATGTTTGTTTGCAGTGCTGGGACTCAATCCCAGGGCCTTCACTCATGCTAGGCAGTGGCTTCTCGGCCTTGGCTAAGATCAAGGGCACTCATGCTAGGTGAGCCTTCTGCCTCTGAGCTGCATCTCTAGCCCCTGCGTTCTAGGTCCTCGGGGTTGTTGGTGTTCTTGAATGTTGTAACCAGAACTGAGCTCCAAGAAGTGTTTGCTCGCTTGGCTCCCTCCCTGGGACCTGAGCTCCTCGAGGTCAGAGACTGTCCTGTCTCTGCTGTTGTTTCCTGTGCTCCCGGGCGTCCAGGAGGCCTTTGTTCGATGCGTGTTTAGCTGACACAGGACTAATCTTGCCTAGGATCCACATGCTCTGCTGTGTGAGATCCTCGAGCCAGAGAGCGGGTCCTCAGCGGGAAGGAGCCCGTGCTGGCTCTGTGACCTTGAGCTCTGAGCCTCCTGATGGAGAGAAGTCACTGGTCAAGCCACCTAGTCTGGTATTTTTTGTAGTGGAAGCTAGAACATGAAAACACCTTTATCGGTAGCTTGTTTTGGATAGTTGACACTCTACCTTGTGGTCATTCTTGTATCCAAAATGTAAATTGACTGAGAGTGGTGGCATATTCCTGTACAGAATCCTAGCACTCCTGGAGGCTGAAGCGGGAGGACTGGAAGTTTGAATCCAGTCTAGGCTGCAGAGCGACGTAGCAAAATGCTGTCTCAAAATTGGGGCTGGGCTGATCCTAGCACCTGAAGGCTGAGGCAGGAGGATCACTTCGAGTTTGAGGCCAGCCTGGGCTACATAGTCAAACCCTGTCTCAAAAAAAAGGAGAGAGGGCTGGGGATGTAGCTTAGTGCAAGGGCCCTGCGTTCAATCCCCAGTACCACCAATTAAAAACATTCTAGATGTTGTCAGTGAAGAAAAGTAGCCTGCCTGCCGGGCAGCGTGGGCCAGTGCCCCTGGGAGGTGGCGGCAGCTGTGCCGGGGTTTGAAAGGCTGGAAGGTGGGCAGGGCATTGGGCAGGGTGGCTGTGGCAGAGTGAATTGGAGCACCGGTGACATTGGAGCCCCACCGTTGTGGCTGTGACTCCGGGGCACTCTCCTGTTGCTCGGTCAGTGCATCCAGCTGGCGTAGGCCACTTCTCCCACCCTTAGATGGAGCCAGCCTTGTCTGTGATGCCCCGGTGTTCTCAACAGGAAGCAGTTCCGAGCAGGAGGCAGCTGCGCGGATAAGAGGCACGCAGGTCTCTGGGTTAGACCTCCTGAGCTCGCACCCGTCCCTGCTAGCTGGGCAGTTAACCTCCAGCAGGCTGCTTTTAACCTTGCCGTGCCTCAGTTTCCTCTGTAAAATGAAGTTGAACATTTCACCTGCTTCATAGGGTGATAGGTACAGTAATTAAAATAAAACCCAAAAACCTTCAGTAAAATGTCACCTGCTGTGATTTCGTGTAATGACTTCCTTTTTTCTAAAATAAAGAATGGTGGAAGTAGAGAGTCCTTTAGGGTTTAAAATTATAAGGCTGGGCATGGTGGCATGAGCCTATGATCCTAGCACTTGAGGCTGAGGCAGGAGGATCATTACAAATTCAAGACTAGTCTGGGCTACAAAGTAAGCTCAAGGCCAGCCTTAACTGCATAGTGAGACCCTGTCGCAAAAAGACAGACAGACATAAAATTGTATTCTACGCTTTTTGCTGCTGAGTGTCATGGGCCTTGATATGATCACTTAACATAAAATACACCTAGCTTCCCAGTGGCAGAGAACTGTATGTAGGAGTTGATAGGGCTGTCGATCGGAGGGCTTTCTTTGTGGGGGGTTTTTTGTTTGTTTTTTTTTTTGGTTTAAAGTCTTGGCTTTTTTAAATACCAGTAGAAGGGTACTATGAGGTTAAGAATTGAGCAAGCCAGTTAACACTTCTGGAGGATCTTACATTCCTACTCTCTGCAAAACACATTTTGGGGGCCAGGGATATAGCTCAGCAGCACAGCACCTGTCTGCCAGGCGCAAGGCCCTGAGTTCAGTTCCTGAGAACAGTAACAAACCCCCCCAAAAAACACAGTTTTGATGCAGAGGCAGGAAATTTCAGCACTGGAAACTATGAAGCCCTGTTCTGTTTTTAGGCATCAAAGTAGCAGACTCTGGCCGCTGGACACTCACACTGTAGCTTAAGAGGTCGGGCTAACACCTTCAGAGCACAGTGACCTGGCCTCTGTCGGTGTGGTCAGCAGGAGATAATCGAGGTGCTCCCAGGGAAAGTTGGAATCCGAGGCGGCAGTGTCAGACTCGAGCTGGGCTCTGGAGAGGAGGCTGGATGTAGAGGGGAGACAGCGGCTGGGGAAGGTCATGCCCAGCAAGTGTGTCCCACCAGGCCCTGTGAGGAGGGCAGGCGAGTGGACAGTAGAGGGCGAGTGCGCGAGGGAGAAGGGAAAGCTGGGCTGGACGTGGTAAGACTGGGCCTCGGCACCAGACTGAAGGAGGTGCAGTGAGGTCACCAAGACGATCGGAGATCGTGGACGCAGCTCTTCGGCTGATTGGTTTGAGATGCTGGGGCATTCAACTAGAGATCCACATTCTTGGAGCGCGTCTACTGTGTGCACACTTGGAATGCGGCCCTGGGGAGCGTAGGGGTCAAAGGGGACCCGTCTGCCGGTCCTGGACCTTTCCACAGTCCAACAGGAAAGGCGGGGCAAGTCGCACAGCCCGGGTCACACTTGGACTCTACGAATTGCCCGAGGGAGCGGTAGTGAGGTTGGGTGGGCAGGCCGTCGTCGTACATGGAAGGAAGAGTGAGGAACAAGGTCAAGGTAGCTGGAGAGTGCAAGTTTGGCGTCATCAGATTGGTAGTTAAGAGGCAACGTGTGGTGTAAAAGAGCAGAACTCAGAAGTAGGAGGGGAAACACGCAAGCTGAAAGTAGGCAGTGAGAGCAGCGGGGCAGACCCAGAAGGCGTGGTGCGGGAGTGCCGGTGCCCACCGGATTCGACAGTGAGGGTTGTGGGACCCACAGGCACAAACAGAAGTTCAGAAGATTGAGAGCAGAGAAGTGGTGAGGCTACTGAGTGATAACTGGGCACAGTGGTGCACACCTGTGGTCCCAGCACTGGGGAGGCTGAGGATCCCCCAGGTTCAAAGGCAGTCTGGGCTACGTAGTAAGTTGGGGGCCACCCTGAACAAATGGCGAGGCCCTGTCAAAAAAGCCAAAAAGAAAACAAAAAGAAAAGAAAGAAGCTGAGTGGTAACTCTCAATGAGCTTCTTAAGAAGTGTGAATGAGGCCAGGCCCCGAGGACGGCGGAGGAGGATGGCGGGGAGGTCCAGACCGGCCTGGACTACACAGGGTGACCCTGTCTCAGAAAAACTTAGTGAGAGCAGTTTTTACACTTTCTAAAATGTGTTTACTCCACTAAGGTAATCTCGTGATGTGTTGCAGATGAAAAAAAAGACATTGACCACGAGACAGTGGTTGAAGAGCAGATCATTGGAGAGAACTCACCTCCTGACTACTCAGAGTATATGACAGGAAAGAAACTCCCTCCTGGAGGAATACCTGGCATTGACCTCTCAGACCCTAAACAACTGGCAGAATTTGCTAGGTAAGTCTGAGGGCTTCTCCTTTCCTTTCTCTGTAGAAAGTGCCTGAGTCTTGACAGCTGTTTTCCTGTGCCCAGGTCACAATGGTGGTTTGTGTTCTTTCTGTAGGGAAACTTGAAAACAAAAGTTTTATTTTTAGCGATAGCTGTGCTAGTTGAGTGACTGCATTTTAGACCCTTGCAGACAGTAAGATGAGGCAGGTACTCTTTCCATTCCATAACAGGCATTGCTTGGGAGTAAATAAACTTGCACAATTTGTTTTGAGGTGGGGATCTGTACCCTGTCTCCGGCCTCTCTTGGGCTGCTGTTTAACTGGGTATGTAGCCTGGCCTGGGCTGGGCTGCAGGCACCAGGGCCCACCCCAGAGTGGTGTCTCAGTTGAGCTGCTGTTTGGCTGATTAAAGCTGGCAAGACAGGGAGAGAGAGGGGATTATGGCCAGGGTCCCTCCAACTGCCTGTTCAAGAAGCTCTAAGCCCACTGGGTGTTTATTTCGCCTAGAAGAGGCTGGGTGCCTTCAGAAGCCTTTGCTATTTTTTTGTCCTGATTTACTTTCCAGTACTGTTTGGCATTTATTACAAGAACAGAAAAAAAATCATAAAGATATAATAAAATGTTAAATATAATCAAATAGCAGGAAGTCCAGTTCTTCTCCTTACCTGAGGCTGAACAGAGACTGGAAGAGCCCTGGAAATGAGTGTAAGGGTAGCAGGAAGAGAGTGGGGTCCTGTACCTGCACAGGGGGTGCACCTTGGTTCTTCCTCTGGAGAGTAGAGCAACTGGGGAGGAACTGTGCCCCGTGCAGCCTGACTCCAAGCAATGTTTTTGTAAAGGAGGGCCTCACCCTTTCTCCTCTTCTCCAGTGAAACTGAAGCTATGGGGAAGAGTTTTTTTTGTTTTTGTTTTTTTTTTTAAGACAAGGTCTCACTCTGTAGTTCATGCTGGCCTTGAACTGGCAGCAACACCCCTGCCTCAGCCTCCCAAGTACTGGGATTACAGGCGTGTGCCACCACACACAGCTACATTCATGTATTTCAGACTTATCATGGCTTAGTGACCGTAAGACTCTATACTTTGGTTAATGACATTACTTGTTTGTCCTAGTCTTTATTGTCATTCATATTTCAGAGAGGGTTACGTGAATCAAATATTAACTGCTCTTCCCCCAAAACACTCTGGATAAGTGTTGAATCTATAGGGTACGGAGTTAGCAGGGAGCTTGTAGTTTTAGGTACATTGAGCCAGGTATGGTGCAGGTATTTAATAATGTCGTGTTTCCTTAAAGTTAGCTCATATAAGCGCAGAGTTTAGTAAGGGTACTTGGACAGAAGAGTCAGGAAAGTGTGGAGGGAAAGGTAGCTTTGGATGGGCAGAGATGGGGAATGGGCTCTGCAGTGGGCCTGCACACTAGAACAGTCTACACAGCAGAAAAGCGTGTGTGTGCTCACTGCTTAGCCTTGCCTGGGAGCCAGGTGCTTCAGGGAAATGGAGTTTAGAGAGAGAGAGGAAAGCAGGTCGTAGGACTTCGTGCACGCTGGCCCACAGTACACAGCCCTCTTTCTAGTAGGCAGTAGGTAGTTGGGTCAGGCGTGGTGGCACATGCCTGGAATCCCAGCTACTTGACAGGCTGAGGCAGGAAGATCACAAGTAGGCCAGCCAGAGCAATTTAGTGAGACCCTGTCTTAAGAGTGAAGGAGCTGGTGGTGTAACCCAGTGCTGGAAGCATTTGCCTAGCATGCACGGGGAGGAGGAGATTGGGTGATAACGTCTCTCCTGAGAGGGACTCGCTTTGTGGCTGTGTTAGGCTGGATTGGTGTAGGTACAGCCACGACCTGAGGCAGGCCCGCTAGAATTGTGGCGGACAGTGGGGGAATGATTGTTTAGAGAGTGCAGGAGTCAGCGAACAGAAAGGCCAGGCACGTTTGGTGTTGGAGAGTGACATCATCACCATCATCATACTAATAATTAAAACATTATTTAGTGGCACTGGGGATTGAACACCAGGCCTTGCGTATCCTAGGCAAGTGCCGTGCGCCTGAGCTACAACCCCATACATACGTACATACGTAGGTACATAATTTTTTTTCTCTCTTGGAGATAGAACCTTACTGTACTGCCCGGGCTGGCTTCATCTGCTTTATCCTCCTGCCTCAGCCTCCCAGGTAGCTGGGATTACAGGTGTGCGCCCCTGCTCCCCATTGGGTACGCTTTGAAAGGAGAATGAGCGTTGTGAAGTTGGCTGTGAGGATTTCCTTAGGTGGCGGGGGAGTGTGGCTCGGTGGTAGGGCATTTACCTAGCTGAAGAAGAAAACCAGAGCATCGCCTCAGGAGCGTGCCTTTCTCTCAGTAGTGGCGGGCACAGTGCAGCAGAAGCTGCGGGTATGGGAAAGAGCCTTCTGACAAAGAGCAGAGGCAGCGAGAGAGCCCTGCTAAGGGGTGCAGCAGGGACGCGAGGGCCAGGCTAAGGAAGCAGGGGCCTGGCTTGGGCGGGTCTCTGGTGCTCGCGGCTGCTGCGGTGGACTTGGAGAGCCAGCACAGTGGGAGCATTTCATGACTGTAATGGGAGTAGAGGTAGCATTGCTTTCCTTTATAGTCAACCAGCTAAAGATTTCTTGGGGCTGGGAATGACGCTCAGTGGTAGAGCACTTGCGTGGCACCATAAGGCCTTGGTTTTGATCCCAGTACCACCAACATAAGAGGTTAAAAGATTGCATTTCGTACTGGGGATGTAGCTCAGTGGCACAAATACCTGCCTGGCAAGTGCAAGGTCTTGAGTTTGATTCCCGATGCAAAAAAATAAAAAAAGATTTTATTTCCTGTCTCACATAGGGTGACATCATCTGCGTGCTCTGTGTACAGATAAGGGTTAGGGTTTGGGCCCTGAGGTGGCGGGAAGCTAGGAGGACCCCTTCAGCCCATTGTGCTTGGCTCCTCTTGAAGATTGTGTTACCCTAGAAACATCTGCAGTGGGACCGTGGTGGCCGAGAGAAACAGTTGAGCCTGGGTGCCTGTTGACCTAGGTCTTCACATTCTGAGAATGCGTGTGGCCGCTGAGTGGGGTTTCCTGGAGGCTCCGGAAGAGGTGACTGGAACTCTGAACGCTCGAGAGGCCCCCGAGTCCAGACTGCTGGGCGCCAGACCGAATCTTGTGCACGGAGACCCACAGACCCCGATCTGCTGGCCTCTTGCCGGCCCCCTCTGCTCCCCTGCGGCCGTGTCCCAGTGCTGGCGCCTTCCTCACAGCGCAGTGCCGGCTGGCTGCTTCCCCGGCCTCGGTGGCTTGGGATGCGGAACTGACTGCGCTTGAAACCCAAGCGTGTTTCAGGAGTTCGCCCTGTTTGAAAACCTCTCTTCTAGGGAGGTGAGCGTACAGAGTGGTTAGCCACTAGGATTCATGTAAAGATGCAATGGGGTTGTGGAAATGAAAATAGTTGAGAAGTTGTGTCACTGGAAGACGACTGCCTACTGTAATGCGCACATCACTGAGCAGACTTGTCCATCTGTGTGCAGGCGCCCATTACCTTTGCACACGGAAGGGGTGTGGATGGTGTGCGCAGCGCGGCTGTGTTACAGGAGCGAGTCCTGACCAGCACAGGCCCGCGCTGTGGTGCTGGTCCGGGAGTTGCCTGAGCTGGTTGTGAGGGAGGAGGCCTGTTCTCCTTAGAGAAGCCTGCCTCCCCTCCGGGCCGGGCAGCACGGCCTTCGAGTCGGAGCTGCGGAGTCCAGCCTTCCCAGCGCTGCTGCTCCACGCGCTGTGTCCCAGGGAGGTGTGGGTGCAGTGTCGGGGCCGGGAGCTGCTGCCAGGGGCTGCCTTCCTGCTGTGCCATTCAGTCTGATAGCTGCAAGGGGGTTTTACTACAGAACCAACTCAGATGTATTTAACACACGGCCAGTGGACATCGTAGCTGTCGTTTCCCAAGCACTTACACGCCATCTTTTTATCCTCACAACTGAGTAGGGAGCATCACACCTGTTTACAGAACAAGAAACCGAGGCTGAGGAGTTGCGTGGCTTGCTCAAGGTTGTGCAGCTAGTAGGAGTCAGCTCCATGTCACACATCCCATCCCGTCTCGCTCACTTGTGATGCCTGTGCTGTCGTCCTTGTTGTTGCGGGTGCCTGAGGTCCGTGCTCGGCGGAGGGGAGCTGCCGAGCGCTCCTTCCGAGTAGTGGGGGTGGGGACGACGATCTGAGCAGTAGTGTACGGTTTTAGTCTCTACTGACAGAACGCTTGAGCGAAGTGTGCGCCCCACCCCCACTGTTTTCAAAAACGACCGCTTTGTAGGTGAAGGACCCAGGAGCTTTAAGAGCAGCTGCATTTAGGTCTTTGGTGAACTTGTGTCCAAGGATGTATTTTAAATTCTCATTCTAAAATGAATTAGACTTCTAAATACTGGTGTACATTTTTAAAAATATTTTTAGAAAAAGTACCAAGTAATGTATCCTCCAGAATTGGATAAGTGATACATGGGATTTCTCTCTTCTAAGTTTCTAAGAGTAAATGCAGGAGAGCATAGGAGGACCTTTCCTAAGTTTATTTAAGGTTTATTGCACTAATGCGTACGCAGTAAAATTTGCCCTTTCCTAGGTGTGTACCATTCTACAAACTGGGGGAAACACAATTGTATGGGTTAGGGTTAGGGTTAGGATGGAATTATCACAAAGGGTAAACATTCTTAACCGGGGAAATTGGAACTTAATGTTTAAAAATTATTAATACTTTTAAATAGAAACCTTCCACGAGTCATCCTTGTTTTGACACTGATCTTACCTCCAGGTGGCGCAGTGACACCAGACTCCAGTCCCCTGGGAGTTCAGAACTCGAGGGTCACCAGTGTGTAGGACAGCGAAGGCAGCCTCAGAGCCCCGTAGCCCCCAGCCCCTTAGGAAGCGCCTGCTAAGCGGGGGGTGGGGGTCTCGAGCGTGAGTGGGAGAGGGGACCACACTGGAAACAGTCCTGGGGGGTTTAGAGTAGAAATGTGTGCAGTTGGCGTCCTGTTCCCATTACTCAGGCTTGAACCCAGAGCTTCGCAGTGAGCTCCATCTGCAGCCCTTTTCATTTCACATTTGGACACAGTAAGTGCCCAGGTTGGACTTGAACTTGCAATCCTTCTGCCTCAGCTTCCCAGAGTGCTGGGATTGCAGACATGTGCCATGCCTGGTTTATATACAGTGGACATGCTCAAGGTTTTGTAGTATAGTAAGAGTCCAGAGTGAAAAAGAATAATACTGTCAGGGGCCTTTGTTAACTAAAAGGTGACAAATTTATTAATTAATGAAAGAGGGGTAGTAAATTAGCCCTTAGGTTAAGAGACCACTGGCTTAGTTGTTCATTAACTATGAACCCTTACAGATGGGTTGGCGGAAGTAGGAACAAAAAGACCATTACAGAAATTTAAATTTTTGTTTCATTTTATTTTTGTTTTTTGTCTTTTTGAGACAGGGTCTCACTGTGCAGTTCAGGCTGGCCTCAATCCGAGTGCTGGGATTACAGGCATGCACCACCATGCCCAGCTCAAATGTTCTCCTTTTAGCTCTCTTAGGAACTTTTAATTTCTTACCCCTCTGCTGAGAACACATACTGAAGGGAGTATTTGGAAAGAAAGTTGATGGAGGACCGAGGTTGGCTCTGCACCTGGTAGGGGAAGCGGGTGGCAGATTACCCAGCTGCCTGGACCCTAGCTTCGCACAGGGCTTCCCCAGGCCAGGCGCCTGTCACCTCGGTGTGCGTCAGAGCACCAGCCAAAGGCGGGACCACGTATATAATTGTAACCTCCCTGCCCCACCAGCAGAAACAGGGAGAAATGAAACATCGAGTCTTGTGGTTTGCCACCTGTTTGCTAGCCCTCGGCAGTAACCATGCTGACGGTACGCTTGGTTTCCTTTGAGAGCTTTTTTTTTTTTAATAGGGTCTTGATAAATTGCCTGGGCCGGCCTGAGGCTTTGATCCTCCTTCCTCAGCTCCCTGAGTAGCTGGGATCACAGGCCTGCCTGGCATTTTTGAGAGCTATGTGATACTTCTGTGTACATACGTGAAGAATTGTTTAAAAAGGACAATCTATACTAAGCACTTTTGAAAAGTGATGTATCTTAAAGATCTTTCATATGGGTATGAAGTGGACCCACAGCGGGCGTGTGCGTGTGTGTGAGCAGTTGTGTAGAGGTGTGTGTTTCTGATACACTCCATGACCATTGCTCCCTTTTGTAATGTACCTTTGTCATTGCAACAGCTGCCTCGTACCTTGCCCTGCCTCCCACTAGGAGCCTGGGCAGTGGTTGTGTGGACAGTTGATCTTTGCATTTTTAAAGAGGGATTAGAGGAAAGAACAGGTATTTGAATCCCACAGACCATTGTGCCAGTCCGAGCTGCACCAGCTTACGGACTCTGAGCCACGGCGTCCTCGTCTGCGAAGCCGGAAGAGCCCTTGCGGTCCTCAGCCCTCTCCTTCCGGAGCGGAGCGCCGGGCTTGATCCCGATCGCAGAAGGAGAGCGCTGTAGGGGCTGCATGACTTATGCCAGCTGAGTGTACCCACTCCTACAAACCTCTCTCTCTCCTCTCTTTTGTTTTGATAAGAATGAAGCCAAGAAAAATTAAAGAAGATGATGCTCCAAGAACAATAGCTTGCCCTCATAAAGTAAGTAATGCTAGGGGAGTGCTCATTAAGCTGTTAATGAAGTTATAGAGAGTTGTGAGAAATTTGCTCTTTTATTTCCACAGTTGAGATACAGCAAGGAAGCATAATCTTTGGTTTCTAATTCAAGAGACTTAAGTTTTGTTGTTTAGTAAAAGACACTATAAAATATTCTATAAAATGGGATTACTGTAGGGAGCCAGTGTTTCTATATTTTAATTAATCTATGTTAGGACTGACTTTCTTAGTGTTTTAAGACATTGGGTGTGGTTCACCTGTGGACCTTTATAAGAATGTACACTTTATAAAATTGGGAGTTTTGGCTAAAACAAGCCAAAGACTTCACAGTTTTCTTACCCTGTTAATTACGTGTTACAAGAAGGGCACTTAATTGTTTTCAAATGTAGTTGGTTTTCGAAAGGAAACGCTAAAAGTACTTTAAGGTATTGGTTGGGGTCTGTTTTGAAACTCAATTGGATCTAAAACAGAAAAAGTCTCAAAAAGGTGCAGAGAAACAGGCAAAGAAATTCAGAATGAAATACAGAATTTCTAAAAACAGCTCTTGGTAAATTTACTTTGGTGGAATTGCCCTATAAAGCTGGGCATTCTCAGGTTTGGGGCTTCCTTTTGAATGCTTTTCCGTGGAGGTTTTGAAGTGTAAAATGATCTCCATGGGGGCCAGAAGTAAGCATTTGAAAACAGTTATGCCTCCAGTGCCTGTCATCTCTTGAGCTTCTGTATATCCCTTCTCCGATTAAATTTTTAAAACTCCATCCTGTCGATGGAAAGGAAGCTAGAGGTGCAGGTGAAAGGCGGGCCCCTCCCTTGCCTGTGCCGCTGTCTGGTGGCGCCCTGTGCTGTCCTCTGTCACGCTGTCTCACCATTTCCCATTCACTCCATCCTGGGCAACAACTGCAGAAGAAATTGCTGAGGACATGCTTCTCTCGGGTGCCGCATCCATCCGCCTCCCCGCCCCGGTGCCGCTTTGCCTGCCTCTCCTTTTCCCAGTGTCTCACAAAATAAATTTCTTCTGTAGTTGCCATTCCTGGGAGACCCTCTTGCTTCTTTCTCTGTCAAGAGGGGGAAAGAGGCAAAGAGAGAAGAGGGAACAGTAGGCGATGGAGAATGACAGCCCATTGTTGCAGCACAGACTATGGGGCCCACCAAAGGTAGTGGTGGACTGCCGTCATTTTAACTCGGTTTATTCTCAGTCTTCTGTTACTCACCTGGGGGATGGAGCTGGGCGAGGCGGCTGTGGTGTAGCTGGAAGCCGGGGCGCTGGGTTCTACTCCCGGCTTGGCTACTGCTAGTAGTGTGACCTTGGGCAAGTCTACCTCAGGACTTCTCTAAGCCTCAGTTTCCTCATCTGTAAAACATGGGTTTGCATTAAATAAGGCCTTTCTCAGCTATCTCGTTTTTGTCCTAAGTAATCTCATGTTGTGTAATGCCAGGCCAGGTGAAAACCGGGCTGGGGAGGCTGGGGAGGCGGGCTCTGGCGTGTCGGCAGGCTGTGACGTGGTTGAGTCCTTCTCCATTTGCAGTGTGGACCACTAAGCTGCTTTCTCTGTTTCAAGGGCTGCACAAAGATGTTCAGGGATAACTCTGCTATGAGAAAACATCTGCACACCCACGGCCCCAGAGTCCACGTCTGTGCAGAATGTGGCAAAGCTTTCGTTGAGAGCTCAAAGCTAAAGCGACACCAGCTGGTTCATACTGGAGAGAAGCCCTTTCAGGTAGGGCCATGCCACTGCCCCACCTCCGCTCTACCCCGTCCTGCGCCAGGAGCTAGCGCTGTGCCCCGGGCACCAGGACGCTAGCCCAGAGGGGACCTGAGTGTCACACAGAACACAGTCCAGGTGCTGGTGGATGTGGATGTGTGCGTGTTGGTGGGGGTGCGCTTCAGCAGCAGGGAAGTGGGATTTCTTTCCTTCTCTCTTCTTTTTATGGGGGTGGATTTTGAGAGCAAGCCTGCAGCTCGATTTCTGGTGCGTCCACGGTGAGGCTGAAGTAATTGATTCTGAGTAGTTAGCAGTATACTGAACTACTAATTGCTCAGGAACTTCTGAAAGTTTATTGTATGAGAATAAGTAGAGGCAATATTTCATCTTGGTTTTAGATTCCTATAAATAAGTTAACAAACGAGCAGAGCAACCAGTAAATCTAATTTCCTTTTCTACAATTGACACCAGAAAACTTGCTCGTGACTTATACTGGACTGTGGGGACTATTTACAGAATACATGGGCTCTAATTGCCAGAGTGATTCTGTTCTGCCAGGGGGTTCTCTCACAGTGCGTGTCTGCTTTATGAGGAGTTCCTGGGGCTTTAGGGCTTGTCTGGTACCAGGTAGAACTCTGCCCAGCACTTCTAGAAGGGACCCAGGAAGTCCTCCTGGGCAGAGGAGCACGCTGACTGAAGTGAGCAGGCTGAGCCGCCACCGCGGTGAGCGCTCGCCCGGGTGTGGTCACGCTGCTGAGTGGGTTGACGTCTGGTCTCTCCTCGACAGTGCACGTTTGAAGGCTGCGGGAAGCGCTTTTCACTGGACTTCAATTTGCGCACGCATGTGCGAATCCATACCGGAGACAGGCCCTATGTGTGCCCCTTCGATGGCTGTAATAAGAAGTTTGCTCAGTCAACTAACCTGAAATCTCACATCTTAACACACGCTAAGGCCAAAAACAACCAGTGAAAAGAAGAGAGAAGACCCTTCTCAGCCACGGGAAGCATCTTCCAGGAGTGGGATTGGGAGTGAATATGCCTCTCCTTTGTATATTATTTCTAGGAAGAATTTTAAAAATGAATCCTACACACCTAAGGGACTTGTTTTGATAAAGTAGTAAAAATTTAAAAAGAAACTTTAATAAGATGACATTGCTAAGATGCTCTATCTTGCTCTGTAATCTCGTTTCAAAAACACGGTGTTTTGTAAAGTGTGGTCCCAGCAGGAGGACAATTCATGAACTTCGCATCAAAAGACAATTCTTTATACAACAGTGCTAAAAATGGGACTTCTTTTCACATTCTTATAAATATGAAGCTCACCTGTTGCTTACAATTTTTTTAATTTTGTATTTTCCAAGTGTGCATATTGTACACTTTTTGGGGATATGCTTAGTAATGCAATGTGTGATTTTTCTGGAGGTTGATAACTTTGCTTGCAGTAGATTTTCTTTAAAAGAATGGGCAGTTACATGCATACTTCAAAAGTATTTTCCTGTACAAAAAAAAAGTTATATAGGTTTTGTTTGCTATCTTAATTTTGGTTGTATTCTTTGATGTTAACACATTTTGTATAATTGTATCGTATAGCTGTATTGAATCATGTAGTATCAAATATTAGATGTGATTTAATAGTGTTAATCAATTTAAACCCATTTTAGTCACTTTTTTTTCCAAAAAATACTGCCAGATGCTGATGTTCAGTGTAATTTCTTTGCCTGTTCAGTTACAGAAAGTGGTGCTCAGTTGTAGAATGTATTGTACCTTTTAACACCTGATGTGTACATCCCATGTAATAGAAAGGGCAACAATAAAATAGCAATCCTAAAGAAAGAGTATGGCAGAAAAAGATCTGTAAGCACAGTCATTTTCTTTTGTTGTCCAGAATACTTAAATTCTTGAGCCTCCCAGAAATTGGAAGCTAAATAAAGCAACTCAAGTTTCCTTTATTTTCACTCAGTTACAGTGACTTGTGATTAAAGTGATGCATGGATATTTTGATACTTCCTACACATCCTGGATTCTGAAAGAGTAGGTAGCAGGCACCCCGCGGTAAGGAACTACCTCAGTACCCAGGCCGGGCCGTGGGTGGTAGGCAGCTTCGGCATCCCCGATGCATGGCCCAAGCCTTTCCGCAGGGCAAGGGGCCCGCTGGCCATGGGTGTGCGGAGGAAGGCCAGGCCTTCCTTCTGCTGCACAGGCTGCCGCGAAGGAGGCGCCGTGGGCCCTTGGCCTGCCCGCCAGGAGACACGGTTGCCGGTTATCTGGTTGGAGAGCCCTTGTTCCTCCGTCTTAGTGGAGTCCTTACTCAGTGCTAGCAAATGTGGCAAGTGAGCGCCGGTGGCAGGATTTCCGCCTCTGAACGGACACTGCTGCTTGGCAGGGCGATCAGAAGGTCCCTAGGGAACTGTACTCGGTGAGTACTTGACCGCTCCTTTTGTGGCCTCTTCTATGTACAATTATAATTTCTGAGTTTTACTTGGGATCAAAGACCAGACTTGCTGAGAATATTTTATAAACTGCCATGGTACAGCAAAATCCCATTTTCTCAAAACGCAAACACATCATGCGTCTTCTGTGCCGAACGCTTGGCCCTCCGACGTGGAGGACAACCTAGCTTAAGAGCACATTTCTTTACAAAAGGCCCAGGACACCATCGGTCCAACAGTGTAGCCTGATTTCTTCCAGCTTCTTCACCAGGAAGGTCGGTGACCCGAACACACTGACCCTGTGGCTCTGGAATTTTGAAGTGCCTTCTGCATCATAAAGAAAGCTTCAACTTCAGACACTTGTTTTTATTTGTCCAGAATCTGTTCTCCATTGGGTAGTTTAGAACGGAGGTGATTCGAAGACCCCAGAGGTTCCCTGGCAGTCAGGAGCGGTAAGCCCACAGTGGAGGGCCACCCTAGAAAGCTGGGGGCCCTCGGCCAGCTGGGGCGAGGTGACATTGGTCCCGCCCGTACCCGCCCACGCCTCGCTCCCCCCATCACGTGGAGCAGTCCTAGTGGTTGCACAGAGACCCTGCTCCCCGCAGTGACTGATTAGGGGCACAGGGCCACATCGCCCACACCCACACCCAGCATTTCCTGCGCTAGAGCCTGGCCCTGGCCGCAGCCCTGGGAGGTGTGCCGTGACCTGTGACCTGCAGGGGCTGGGCTCCCGCGTGGAACCGGGTGCCTCTTCCTTGTGCCTTCATCCCACGGGGGATGCGCTTGGCGATCTTCCCTTTCTCTCTACGTGGAGTAGGCCTCGTCCTCCCCTCTTCTCTGTTCCCACCTGAGTCTGCAGTTTACTTCTACAGAGAGTTCAAAGAAAACTTTGCGATGTAGCGCTCTGATTGACGGCCGTAGTGTAGGAAACTAGTAAACGAGCAACAGTGTAAGCGTAGAGGTAGTTCTCACAGGGTTTAACCTAAACCCACTTTGCTTGTTAGAATTTATAATTTTGTTAAAGATGATATTTACTAAAATTCGAAATGTGTTCTACAGTGATTCCATTGTCTTGAGAATTAAATGATTTATAAGTAATACTGATAGACATATTTTCTTATATGAGCAGAAATAAATGCATGTTTTTAGCATATGTAATATAAAACTCCAGAGGATAAGTTTACACCTAACAAGATGTTGTTTTCTATTTTTGAATTTCTTCCCCTCTTCAGTAGTGAGGCTGCTGGGGGGGTATAATATTTGTATAAAGAACTGTCACTCCAGAGTGATGTTTAAAGGCCTGCGGAGTTGAGAGTCGATTTCCTGTGCCTAGTTGGCTCTTCTAAATGTTGCTCTACTGGGCAAATCCAAGGAAGTAGGCCCCTCGGGACGAGTGTGTGTGCGCGCCCTGGCCGCCTGGGCGTGCAGCTCCAGTCCATCGTCACGGTGAGGAGACCTGTGGTGGGCAGTGCACGCCTGGAGAGACGGTCAGCCCGGGTAGTGTCATTCGAGTCCTGACCTGCCTTCCAGGGCCGCCTCGCCCGCCAACCCCCCAGCAGAGCCCACCTGTCAGAACCCACCCCCGAGGTGTCTCCAGCTGGGGTGCATGTCTGCGGCACAGGAGAGCCTAGGCCCCAAAATAAGGCTTAGAACTGGCCATGTGCTCCCCCACCCACCTCCACTCCGGGCAGAGTTGGTCGCACGTTGTCTCTGACCCATCTCTGATCTGGAATCGCGTGGCCTGCAGAGTTCATGTTAATCTCGTTCCATGATGTCTTTGACGTTTGACCAGTAGAAAGAGCAGGGATCCCGGAGGTCAGAAACACGAAGAGTTGCTGCTGTTCAGGCCACCCTCGATGTCACACCCATGCCAAGGGGCTCCCTCCTAGCTGCCCTGTGGGCCGGACGCAGCTAGCCCCTGTCCTGGCACTGCGTCGCCTGGCCCCATCCGACTGCAGCCCTTGGTCCTGGCTCATGCGGCACTAGCATGACCACAGCATCTCTTCAGGGTAGAGGCCCCAAGTGATAGGAAGCCAAGGCTCGCAGCGCTGGCCACACACCTGTTTGTGGCTTTGCCAGGGGCGCTCCGCGCCTTTCTGATGTCTTGTTTCGCGGCACCACGCGCCGCGTGGCTGCCCAGGCCTTGCTCAGGTTGTGTTCGCATGGGAGCACCAGCCGGGGAGAGCGGAGACAGTGCTGAAGGCCTCGCATCCTTCCGGGGCCTGAGTGGCTTGCAGGGCTGAGCTGGGACGACAGGGAGACTTGCTGGGCGGGGCCGGTGGCAGGTGCGTGGACCGCCACTGCCCGAAGACACTGGAAGGGGGCGTTGAAACGTCAGCAAATGGAACCTCCCACAAACGTACCAAGGCGAGAGTGGCTGCAGCCCCCTGCGTCCCGGCCAGCCTGCTGGGAAAGATGAAATGCCAGAGAAGGCCCTGAGCCTGCTGCGGGAGCTTGCGCTGGGCCGCCTGCTGTCCCAGCCGGGGACTGATGCCAGGCGGGGAAGGGGCGTTAGTCCCACACGGAGTGACCTGTTCTCCGCAGCGTCGGAGCCCAGTCGGCTCTGCTGCTGTCCGCAGATGTTCACTTTCTGGCGACCTTTGTAGGGCCTGGCTCAAGGACATAGCATTGTGTCTCATGTTCATCTTTTTCTTAAGTGTTCTTTGCCATTTCTGGAATTGTCCTTGGTTTTTCCTTAGCTCATAGGTCATAGACGCAGAATATTATAGTATTTAAGGCATCCGCATCAAGCATCAGATGGCTTTGCATCCAGAAAAACAGTGATAACTCAGTTTGAAGCACCAAGCATGTGTAACATGGCTCTATAAAATATAATAAACGCATAATGTTAAGCTTGTTCACGTCTGTGGGCCTTGTTTGTTCGCACTTTACTGAGTCTGCGTAAAGGACAACCTGGAGATGCGCTCCACCTGCTTGGAGCGCTGCCGAGTTCCCGGGACATCCCTTGGCTCCGCCTCTCCTCTGGGGCGGCCACGCCAGCAGCGGACCCCCGGGTGGCCAGAAAGACGAGAGAAAGCGCAGCGCAGTGCGATTCCCGTGCCGCTGCGCCCGAGCTCCCCTCAGCCGCGAAGCTCCAGAGCCAAAGCTCACGCAGGGGCATGGACTCGGCACCTTCAGCGGGCTGGGCGGCCCAGGACTCGGCCGGGGCGGAGTGCGGGGCACAGCTCTCCCCGGCGGGCAGGGCGCGGGGCGGGCTCGTCGCCCTAGCCTCAGCCTGGGATTCCGTGGTGCGGTGTGGACAGGCGCCCGGCAGGGCTGCGCTGAGGACCCGCGCAGCGCCACCTGCGTGTGCGGCCCGACGGAAGGGGCCGGGCTTTGGGCCGCCCCTGGGGGCGCTGCCCGGCTGGGGGGGACCAGCACCCCTGGACGCCTGCTCGCTGCCCACCTGGCCGTGCCAGCATGCCCAGGAGCGTGCCAGGGCTTCGCCCGAGCCACACCTGGACGGCAGCCGCCCAAGACACGCGCGGCCACGCGCTGTCGAGCACGGAGGGCACCGGGCCTCCGGGCCAGGACCTCCCCGGCCGGCTGTTCCGCTGCGCGTGCCCCGCACGTCGCCCTCCGCC